ATGCAGCCATACTTTACAGGGACTTCGCAACCAACTGCTGGACAACCAACAACCCAGTCAGCTCAGCCAGTACCGGTGGCCATAAACCCAAGTCCCAAGGAGAAGAATGATATACTAACCTCCAACCATTCTAGAGTCCTTCACTTAGAAGCACCATCTAGCCCTCCACCAAACGTCGATGGGTATGATCAGAGAGGCCATGGATAGATGGAGACAAGAGACAGGTGGAATTCCGGGAGGAAATTCCATTCTACCCGCCAAGAAGAATTCAGCTGACATCCACAGGTAGAGGGAGGCTGTATGACTGGAGCCACCTGGAGGTCCCCACTCAGGAGTCACTTAATGACTCACGGTTCCAGTTATGCTGCCCACCTTCCAGCTACATGTCGGGTGAAGATGCTGCATTAATCAGGAGGATACGATCTAGGTCGATGACGGCATAAATTGACTCCAATGTAGTACCTGACGGATACTGGGGGCTGCTTAAGGAAGAGAAGTTTGTCCTTCCGGACGGCACAGTATATCTACTCAAAAGAACGTGGATACCTGATCCGCCTTTCACAAGAAGACGAAACACGGCAAGTCAGACAGAGGAGGATACCAACCAAATTGCAGCCATAATAGCGAACAGGGAAATACGAGACAATTGGGGTCCAGGCGACAGTCCGCACAGAAGAAAAGAATACGCAGTGCAACATTTTACAGGAACTTTTATTTAGCTTATAATGTTTGTTTTTAGGAAATTATTTTCAGTTGGTAATGTAATTTTATTGTAAATAGGTTATTTTTAAAGACATGAAACATAAAGATGACTAACCTTTGAAATTTCTTATGTAATCATCAAGTATTCATGTCCGAGGACGAACATTTTTTTAAAGGCGGGGGTAATGTTACAGTTTCGTAATTCTTAATTATTCATTTTTAATCATTTCTTTTTTTGGTCACGTTCTTTATATTGTATAATGAATTGTAAATATTACTATAGATTGAAAGGTAAATGATACGGAAAATGGTGACAAATCTTAACAGCATATATTTTTATAATTATCTGATTTATGTGACAAGTGTAGAATCTACTATTTAATTGTACGAGTTGTACATTTAATTTGCAGTCAAGTAAAACTAACGTGATTCTCTTGTTCCTTGTTGTAGTTATACCGGTATCGATGATCATAAGTCTCCCAGACACGTAGCTTTTAACTTTTTTTATTAACATGTCACTTCAACCCTGGAGGCCGTCATTGCTTGTTAACAAAGGTTCTTATAAACGTCCACGTATGTTAAAAGTGCAGTTTGTGTCGTGACGTCATTTGACGTTAGAAACGTTAAAAGTGTGTCCAACTCGTGTCCAAAGTGTGTCGTGTACTATAAATTCATGCGCGACATTCTCTCATATTCAGTCTTGTTCCTTCTGTGCAACCATTTTTAACTTATAAACAAGCTTCCAGAAATATAAAAAAATTATCCTGTTATTTCGTTAAGGTAAGATTCAAATAATTTAGGATTTCAAGAATTATTATTAATATTTAATTAGATCTATTTATTACAAAGTCTCATTAGGATTACGCTAGCTAAAAAAGAAAGTTCATTGCATATTATCGATACCGCCAATTGCGGAACACCACGGAAACCATCATTTTTAACTATAAACTGTTAATTTCTTATGATAATAACGCGATGATGACCAAAGTTCAAATGATTCATCAAATATTGGCATACCAACATGTATTGTCACTCCTACCTCAAACGGAAAGAGCGATGATGAAGATGAGGCAAGATTTGTTACTAGCAGAAAGCGGAGGGAATTTATCCCAGAAACTAATAAGGATCAATGTTACTGGGAAAAGACGCAAAACAATGAAGCAGCAACAAGATCTCGAGAGAAAAGACTCATACAATATGTTGTCTTAGAAAATCGCATTATACAGCTTAGTCGTGATAACCTTGGGTTAAGAAACGAGTTGTTCGCCATGAAGAAAAAAGTTTGGAATACCCCTAAACGAAGCATTTCAACTGGATGAAAATGAGAAAGATAGTCATTCCGAGAAGGCTAGATTGTATTCTTTAAATTCTCCGATGGCACCACAAATGCCAGGATATATGAATTCCCAAATAACGAACTCACGCTGTGCACCAGTAATGCATTTATCATCCCAGTAATCTGTTAGACTGCCTCCAGTTCAAGATAGTTATCCTCCAAAAACATTACCATATTTATTTGCTCCTACCTCTTATCAGTATGTGACCAATTCGATAGCATCTACAAATTTCCTCGTTTTTTAACGTAGTGCAATGTACATGATGTATAGTGATTTGGCGATTGTATATCGTTGTATATATATATTTATTAACTTGAATAAATAAGTCTAAATTGAAAACAACGTTCAAACCTATGATTGCGTTGGATAAAAACCGCAATTTTCATACGTGTGCATGCAAAACAAATTTCTTGGTAGAGGGGTCTAAATACAGCACAAACAACATTTTCCAAAAGACCAAAAAGTGAAAAATATATTTTAACAAAACGCATTTGACTAACAGGTCGACCAACGGATGTTCTGAAACCCTGTGTAAACCATATCCGGATTTCGACAATAAATGTCTCTTCAGTGATGTTTAAATATAATACAAGCCCAAACGATATTCATTAACTTTAACATCGTGTGTGTCAAAATTCAATTGCAAATGGTTATCGTTCATAATTATGGCCGATTGATAAAGCGTTGATGTAATCTGTAAATCTACAGAATTGATATAACTTGAATGATCAAATATTTGATTTTAATCGTATGATTTTATAATTACAAAATGAATGTGGATACATATAATGTATACAGTTTCTCAATCGTGATGAGTCGCGGAGTATCATGTCTGTAAGCAGCGGAATTTTTAAATGTGGGCAAAATATTTCCTGTTTCATTAACGTGATAAGATATATCTTTAAACAGCATCGAAACTTGTAACCTTATCATGATTTAAGATTAATTACAAAAAGGTGACTACCACGACAAATTATACTGCTTGAAATTATGCTGAAATTTTAAGGACGTTAGAAATATGTGAAATAACTATTTTCTTGTCTTTGATGTTACCCATTTTTTCTTCCTCTCAACAAGCATTATTGAAATTGCAGTTTGCGTTACAACTTTTCATTTGCATACAACATTCATAAAATTCATTTCTATCAAACACATACATCCTTTACTCTATTTTAACATTTCATTTGGTATTGTACTTAATAATTGATAAACAAACATATTTCAGCAGTACTATATACTGGGCGTCACGCACAGATAACAAAGGGGAAAGTCGAAGAAAAATAGCCTATATGATGGCAAAACAAAACAAATAAAGTCAAACGAGTCCAAAAAGCAATACATGAGAAACTAAAGACTGAGCAACATGAACCCCGTTGAATTCGGAATTTTAACCCAAGTGCTTCAGAACAGCTAGCAGTTTCTGCTCCACTCGTCACCCGTCGTCTTAATCACGTCATGTTTTAATTCGGTGATGCTTCTCATTTAGTGGTGCACAATCCAGTGAAAATAGACAGGATAGTTGCTAAGACAGGTTGAACATATCTGTAGTTATCTGCGACAATACATTTTTGATGAAAGCCATCCAAATTATAATAGCATCTGTAAAAGGGAGGACTGGATTTTAATATTTTGAACAATTAATTCAATAGTTCCTTTTAAAAAATAAAATTCAACTCAATATAATGATACCGATACAAACTTTTTGCCATGACTAAACCAAACGTGCACACAACCAATTAAAAAATCAAAGAAATCAAGAGAGGAAATGCCAAACATGTTTTGACATATGCATTTGTTTGCTCCTGTCCTAAGTCAGGAATCTGATGTTCAGTTGTTGTCGTTTGTTGATGTGGTTTATAAGTGTTTCTCGTTTTTTATATAGATTAGACCGTTGGTTTTCCTGTTTGAATGGTTTTACACTAGTTTGCAGAATGGAAAGCACCTTACAGCGGAAATTATTTTCACGTCTATGTGAAAATCTAACCAGAAAAGTAAGTGTAAGCCACCAAATATGTATAATTTATGAAACATACGTTGCTTTTTTTGTTAATCCTTCGCTTCAGAACGTGACAAACGGGATACTATTAGTATGTACACTAAAGAGATTTATCCTGACGAACTGACTTTAAATAAAGCAAATACTAACAATGAACACTGCCCTTTACTAGATCTTGATATCTTTATCTTTAACGGGAAGCTTAATACAAAAATTTATGATAAAAGAGATGATTTTTTATTTCATATTGTTAATTATTCATTTTTAGATGATGACGTTCCCTTGTCGCCATCTTATGGTGTTTATATATCTTGTACGATTCGCTCGTGTATGTAACAACGTATTTGATTTCATGATTTGATTTGATGAAGACATAATCTTTCAATCAGTTTAATTGAGGTCTAGAGCTGGCATGTCAGTAACTCCTAGTAGTCCTTTGTTCATTTATGTATCATTATCATTTTGCTTACTTTCTTTTGTTACCTTTTCTGACATCGGACTCGGACTTCTTTTAAACTGAGTTTTACTGTGCGTATTGCTATGTGTTTCTTTATTCTACATTGGCTAGATGTATACGGTGAGGGTTGAGATCTTACAAAACATGTTTAACCCCGCCGCATTTTTGAGCCTGTCCCAAGTCAGGAGCCTCTGGCCTTTGTTAGTCTTGTATGTTTTTTAATTTTTGTTCATTTATATGTTTTGGAGTTGAGTGTGACGACCATTTTCACTGAACTAGTACACAATTTTATTAAGGGGTCAGCTGAGGACCACTTCCGGGTGCGGGATTTTCTCGCTGCGTTGAAGGCCCATTGGTGGCCTTCTCTGTTGTTTGCTCTTTGGTAGGGTTGTTGTCTCTTTGACATATTCCCCATTTCCATTTTCAATTTTATTAGATAAAAACGAGTTCAGTGTTGGCAAGCATATTATAGATGTGGTCAAAAAGAAAATAGACTGCAAAAAATATCTGAAATTTGAAAAATTTATCGAGTCCCGTCAGTAAATGAACAGAATAAAGAATGAAACAAATTCCCTGCATTATACCAAGAGCCCATTCTCAACATTTACCCTGAAATTCATTTCTAATTTCCGCTTTGCAGGTATCCTGGTCGGGTACGTCTGTAAATTATAACAACAGTTTGCTCCACCATTCACTTCCCTCCGTAGCCAACGTTACTGGAACCATGATCCCTACCTTCAAAGCATGGAGCTCTTAATTTGAAGCATAGGGCACAAAAACTTGCTCAAAGAAACCCTGAACACGTAATATGAACATATGGTGTTCCCTTCCCCTCAACTCCCACCACCATATCAATGTAAAATCCTAGTCCAAATAATTATGAGGTCTTGAAACATTGTGAAAGGCTTTTTTAATTCCACGTCACAGAAAAAAAATTAAAATAGACTAGTGACGTCCATATTATATTATTTTCTGCTTAGTGCTTGGTATTTTTTAACTGAATTTTATAGGGTGGTAAAGGGTTAATTTCAAGCAACGTTTTCTGCTTTTTTTTTGCTTAATAATTTACAAACAAAATGCTACAGTTTTACCTTTTTGCCTCAGAACTTCTTTATAGACTGTCAAAATAAAAAATACAGTTTGCGTCACTTTTGTTAATTCTATAAAAACTGTAACATTGTTATGTACATGTCGTCATAGTTAAGTACTTTCAATTTAAAATATAAATGACAATAATGATAAAACATTAAGTATGATGAATTAAATAACACATAGCTGAGAGGGTGATAGAGCAGATTGGTAACCCTCGAAAAAAACATTGTCAACCTTGGCTTCGCCTCGGTAGACAATCTTTTCTTGGGGTAAAACTCTCCTCTGTCACCCTCTTAGCTATGTGTTATTTAGATAATATCCAAATAAACCCTCTCGGCTATTTATATACTGACCAATGACACAGAGTACCTAAACTCTTTTACCTCTTTTACCTTTTGGCCCCATTACTTTTTCATAGACTGTCATAATAAAAAATACAGTTTGCTTCACTTTTGTTAATTTTATAAAAAACTGTAACGTTGTTATGTACATGACATCATAGTTAAGTACTTTCAATTTAAAATATAAATGGCAACAATGATAAAACATTAAGTATGATGAATTAAATAACACATAGCTGAGAGGTTGACAGAGCAGATTGGAACCCCTCGAAAAAAAAATTGTAACCTTAGCTTCGCCTCGGTAGACAATCTTTCCTTGGAGTAAAACCCTGCTCTGTCACCCTCTTAGCTATGTGTTATTTAGATAATATCCAAACAAACCCTCTTAGCTATTTATATACTGACCAATGACACAAAGTACCTAAACTCACGCCATTGACCGTTGTTACAAAAAGATTTCTAGACGTGGTTATGTCTGTACAGATAATTACAGATTGGCCAGTTACTGCAACAAAACGATAACATAAACAGAAAATAGTGATAATCAATATCATGATTAATGTTCATAGATAAAGTCAACATCACAATTCTTCATTTCTTCTCTGTACATTTCATCAAATTTCTCATTCTGCGCTACAGTAAACCAGTTTTTCCAGTCGCCTATAACACCTAAAAAAGTAAAAGTAAACATTATAATACAAAATAATGTTTACCTGATCGGGTACTACTTAAAATGGCTAGGTTATGGAAGAGTGTTACATTAAGAAAAAGGCAAAACGTGAGTTACGGATGTTCGCTAGTCTTGTTTTTGAATTTATGTCAGATATTCAAAATCCTTTGGTTTAATCCATGAGGTGCCGCTTAACCCTTCTAATCCTTTAAATTCTTTTTATTACATATAGTTTAAAAAGCCATTTTTGAAAATCTTAAAAAATCTGATTTTATCATGGTTTTTGAAAGAAAAAAGGTGCCAAAAATCTAGAACGGATCATTTCCCGCCACATTTTCAATGGCTTATATCGTAAAAACAAAGACACAGACTTTGCATTTTTTTCTACTTTTTGTAGTTCAGTTATATATTTACTATCATTTTATAACTGTCTTTTAAATTCTTGTCATTTTTGAAACAGAGTAGTGAACATCATTAAATGAGTTGAATCTTTATACTTTTTACAAGTTTTAGTAATAACATTTGTATTGCGATGAAACAAAAACATGACCACTTTTATTTTCTGGAATAGAACGTCAGTTCCCTGTTTGATTTAATCAAAGGACATTGAGTAATAACACAGAAAGGCAGAACAGCGCATGTCAATTCAGAAAATTGTGTTGTTGCTTTGACTAATGTTCTAGAGTATACTTTTCACAATTTAATTTGTCTTTCGAAATACCTATCTTGTGCATAGATATATATAAATAACGGAACATTTTATAAATAACTTTTCTAGAACGGTTATTGTTTTAAGTGTAACGATCATTTACGCTCCAATCTCCCTTTACCCAACCTTTGAAAAATGGTTTAATCCGCCATTATCTACATAAGGAAATTCCTGTATATTCAAGTCAGGAATATGAAAATTGTTTTCAATTTGTTTGATGTGTTTGAACTTTTGATTTTGCCGTTTGTTGAGAGACTTTCCGTTTTAAATTTTCCTTGGAGTTCGTTATTTTTGCTGTTTTACTTTTTTAAGTACGAGGTACGACAAGGGCTACATTTGTCCTATTTTATTTATTGAAAGAACTTTTATTTAAGATATACGTTAAACCTTTTTTTAAATTTGAGTGAACAAAAAACCAAAAAAAAACAACTAGGTAGTTTATGGTCAATGATGTCACAATAAATGCATTGATGACGTCAAGAAAAAAGTCCAGTCTGTACGTTTTGATGAATAGATGATAGATTTGGGTAAATTTTAAAATAGTTTTTGAAGCAGAAGATACATCATGTATACGGCTATGCAAGTACCAACTTAATAATTTACCACAACGTTAGAGTAACATCTCTCATGTAAATACTTTTGTTGAACGCGCATGTCCTCAATATTTCCAACTCCCACTATAATAATAATGTTTCAAGATATACAATGTTTGTTATATTTTGTAAATTGATTAAATTTGTGCTACCTTTCAATCGCAAAATCTCGGTGTATATTGATTGATTTATTGTTGGTTGTTTAAAGTCATGTGGAAAATATTTCGTGTATGTTCAGGACGAGAACAAATTAAAAATAATAAATAGATAGGTCCTGTAATAGAGGCCGCTCGGGATAAAAGTCGGAGAAATTCGAACTGCCACTAAAAAATGAGGGCATATTGGATAGGAACAGAAATGTTGCCTTGCAACAGGCTACCTACGGACCCCTCAAAGAGTTGTTGCAAAGGTTCTTAACGTGTACAGAGCGTTGCAATTTCTTCACACGAGGCATCGGATTAAACGTCAAGTTCTGACCGGACGTTGCTGCGAACTTGTACTTCCTGCACAGCTAAACGGACGCCCCACTTTAGCGAGGGTTTTACTGCCGATCTAAGGAAGACCTATGGTGACCATTTTTCTACTAGTATTCCCTAATCACCCTTGTGGGTCGTTTCCTCATGATAGTGAAGCAAATACAATCCATTACATTACTTGACCGTGTAATTCTTTACTTAAAAAGCACTAGTCTGTTTCATATAAAGACGTGAATATCCCTGCAGAGTACGAATTTACAACGGAAAATTCAAATAAGAAATAGCAGTCAAATGACAATAAAGGTAGGTCTTTTATTGGTTATTTGTAATTTGTCTTATTGACGCTTACATGGCTTATTCAGAAATTTTACTCGAGCTAAACACGATTGTTTAGTTTCAAAATATTTAACACAAAACCTAAAGCATTATAACCTGGCAGCAACTTTATGTCAGTTATCATTCACGTTCAAAATGCAAATCACCATTAAAGTGTTTTATTTGTTGTTCCCCTTTCAGAATAAATTAACCAGCTGAACCCATTATGATTATTGCATAAGACAAAGGTACCATTTGAGTAATACAGACTTTTATCAGAAAGCAAAATGACAGTAACTTAATACAAATAACCTGTAGACATCTAAGAAGTAACTTTATCTATTGTTATAAAATTACCTTTTCGGAATAATGTCGATTCATGTTTGGGATCAATTATTCTTGAGGAATCATACTTGTGCTTTTTGATATTATCAAAACTGCACTTCTCTATTATCTCTTTAATGAAATCGTCAGAGTGCGAGACATCTATAAACTCGGCCATTTTTTTAATCGTTGAGAACGGATGCTGAAACAGAGAGATGGAGACATTTTGATAAAAGTATCATTTTCTAGAAGTCATGAAAAAAATGTTTATGTTGGTATATATTGTAAAAAATGATACAACTTGCAATGTAACCGAATATATTTCTACAACAGAAAACGACCAAAAGATTCACGTAAGAAACTATGTCAATTCAAAAATATTCTTGAGTATTAAAGGCTTTAAATTGTTATTGTTAGAACGGTTCAAATTCGTTAGGCAGGTTTTGTTTCACTGAGGAAATAAGGAGATTGTAATGACATGATATATCACATTTTTCTTAAACTCCCCGTTCATAAATAAAAAAAAAATGCTTATAGACAAATGTTCCTTCTCCTTTAGGTGAAGTTCAGCCGAGTTGAATTTTACCCTTCTTTATATGCCCCTTTTGGTCACAAAGCTCCTTACGTTTCCATGTATTCTTACATCCCTGGCTTTCAAATGTTTTGGCTTTCGCAGTTCTAATGACGGTAAATCCAGAGTAGACAGTTAGCAAAACTGTAACTTACCAACGAAAACCACTCGACTACAAGCCATTGCCTTGTGACATGAAGGTAAAGAACGTGATAGGCAGAAAACAAGTTTGTGCGCGCTGAACCCTCAACAAACAATGTGACAGCTCAATATTAAAACAAAATGCAGAACTTATTTAGAAGCAATAATCTTTGTTCTAATAAATCAATAGCGCATCATTGCTTTTTTGTTTGTTAAATTTGACCTTATCTATGGTAAAGGCATGCATGATGTCATTCATCATTACTCTGATTAGCCGGAATTATAGAATTTAACAAAAAACAACAAACAAGGATAATACTAAAATTGAACGAAATAAAGGACATAAACTCAAATTCAAAAATGAAATTATCCAGATAAATTAAAATAAATTCAGTTAAAGAAGGTGTAATTATCAACTCTATCAATTGTTTGGATTTTGTAGGCTTTAACCTTTAATACATGAACAGATTAATATCACTGACGGGTTCATTTGATCTTCAATTGAAGCTTACGGTGGTCAATTAGGTTTTTAATAGCTTGAGTGCTATAAATATATCATATCGAATTTGTGTACTTGCAAGTGCAGTCTTAAAATAATCCCAAATAGTACAAATATCATACTTTTACACATAGAATGTCAAAATCCATATATCGCAAATTAAATTAATATAGACCATCTCCCTTTGGCGTCCATCCGTCCGCGATATACACACCGAAATAGGTTACATATCTCTAATTGTTTTAGTTGTGCTCGGCACATAGTTATCATTGCCATTTCTTAAAGGTTCGAAACTGTTTCAATATAAAAAATAAAGTAGATGTGGTATTATTGCAAATGGGACAACTATCCACCAAAGTTCAAAAGGAAGTGGGTGTAAGCAATTATACGGAACCGTACGGCCTTCAATAATGAAAAAAACCCATATCGTATAGTCGGCTATAAAAGGCCTCGGCATGATAAATATAAAACAATTCAATTGAGAAAAGTGACGGCCTAATTTATAACAAAACAATTTACGAAAAGCAAATATGACAGTCACGAACCAACGAAAACCACTGAACTACAGGCTCCTGACTTTGGATAGGCTCATAAAAATGTGGCGTGGTTAAAATGTTTGAGAGCGTTTAACCCTCGCCTAACCTGGGACAGTGGTGCTACAGCACAACATAAGAAATAACTATAAAAAATCGGGTGAGAAGGACTTAACTCATCAGATTGATACAAAGCAGAAAAAAACATCTAACTGAAACACAGAACGGACGTGTGAGGGTATTTATACATCCCTAACAACAAAAAAGACACAAAGTACTGATGTGAGAGTACTTATAGTTACTGGCTGCTACTTTGTAGTTTAACGCCAATAACAACGTAAAAAAATAATGTATCTAAAACTAAAATATCAATCAGTAAACATCAAACAGCCATGCAATGGATTTAGCGTAAAGACGTCATTAACCGTCGGAGAAAAACATGACCTTGTGTTTTTAAGAATTACAGATTGTAACCTAATAATATCTTATGTTTATGTCTATTTCACAGGTATCTCTTTATCTAAAAAAAAATACATATATATATATATTGTTTGTGCTGTATTTAGACCCCTCTAACAAGAAATTTGTTTGCATGCACAAGTATAAAAATTGCGGTTTTTATCCGACGCAATCATAGGTTTGAACGTTGTTTTCAATTTAGACTTGTTTATATATATATATATATATATATATATAGACCTTTTTCTAAGTACCAGTATATAAATCTTATTCTTTAGAGAAAAGCGCATATATCATGTATATACCACTTTCAGAATGGTCAGGCTTTAAACGTCAAATAGTTTGTAACTTCGATAAAAAAAAAAACGATAAAGATTCATGGTTTGTTTGAAACTCGATGCTCACATCTGAATGCGTCAGATATCTTTTTTTAAATATAGTACTTGTTTAAAAAAAAGGAATAATGTACAGATAGAATGTATAATATCAACATATGATTATCTACACGGACACAACACATCTACAACAAAATGCTTATGGTCGACTAAATATATTGTTATACGAACAGAAAATAGAAAAACTAAGCTTAAGGCAATACGAGTTTCAATTTAGGATGTTCGTTACTTTTTTAAAATAGATATAAGAAGATGTGGTATGAGTGCCAATGAGACAACTCTCCATACAAGTCAAAATTTATAAAAGTAAACCATTATAGGTCACAGTACGGTCTTCAACACGGAGCCTTGGCTCACACCGAACAGTAAGCTATAAAGGGCCCCAAAAAATTACTAGTGTAAAACCATTCAAACGGGAAAAAAAGCCTGTTATAAATTGAAAGTATATGAATAAAGGAACTAAAAAAGCAGGAAAAAATTGAAGGGTCTGTTTGCTTGTATCGAGATATAAGCCATCGAAAATTTGGCGGGAAGTGATTCTCTCTAGAATTTTCATACATTTAACATTGGCACCTTTTTTCTTTCAAAAACTATAAAAAAAAATAACAAGGATTTTATAAGATTTTCAAATATGGCTTTTTAAACCATATGTAATAAAATTATGAAAACAAAAGTAGGGGTTTGCAGGCAAAATTTGTAATGGCACTACATTTATAAAACCAAAGGATTCCGAATATCTGGCAAAAATTCAAAAAACAAATAGAAGCAAACATCCTTAATTCAAGGAAAAGCTTTATTTGCATGTATTTATTATTTCCATTTGTTTGTGTATGCGGCTAAGAGAAGCGATCACATAAGTTAAGATGTCACAAACGACAAATTGAATACGATGAGGTCCATTTTCTTTTATAGATTGGTTAATGAATCCCAAAGATTTACATCCTGAATGATAAATTGGTTTGTAGGCCCCATGGTGACTTTTAAGAGATATTCCTTTGCTATTGTCAAGTACATGTATGGATTTTATTTGATGTAATAATACCAACTATTTGTTTATAACAGAACTGAATGCTTCTTATTGTAATTTTATTTGGGTGTAGAAGCTTTAGTGTAAACAATATTTTATTTAGAAACAGATAAATAAATACGTACATCAATACAATACATGGATTGGAAAACAAGTGACAAGTCACTTATACAAATTCCTCTCCTTGTAGAAGCTTTGACCGAAGTACATAATAATAATATAATATTTAAAAAAAAACCCTACCTCAAAAGATTCTAAGTTTTTGAGAGAGAAAAAAATGTTAAATTAGGCACCTGTTCATATCAGACAGCGTATGACTAACTGAATATTGGTAATTTGAATTCTGATTACTTTTCTATTTTTATACATAAAAGTATGTAAATATGGTTGTTCGAACACTTACTAATTTCAAATCTTCATATTTAACTGGTAGTATATTTGCTTTTTTAATTTGTGCCTCCTTTTCGAATTCCTTTGTAAAGTTGAACCAACCTCCTTGTAAGTCGTCTGAAAAGAAATAAATTCAGATTTTACTATTTGAAATTATCAATTGACTTAAAAACATTTGAATGCGTAACTGAATGAATTGTGCTTCAGCTGCGCAATTAAAATTTAGAGAACGCATTCGATTTACTCAATACTAATTTTACGTTTTCATGATTCAAATTGAAGAACTCCATATTTTATTCGGAGAGCTTCTTAAAATCTAATTTTAATACAGATATGCATATAGTAGTAAGCCAAAAGAAAGAATGACAAGGAGACAAAAGATATTTAAAAACTGTGTTTCGAAAACCCTGTTATCTTGTTTAAGACTTTTTAGAAGATACAAAAACATAGAACCCGTGTGGATCGACTAACATTGAATGCTTCAGAAATGTTGCAAACAATACAATTTTATGTGAAAATAAGTACTTCAAAAGAGGTTTTTTATAATATTAAAGATATATAAAACGCTTACAGTTTGAAAAAATTAGAGAGATCAATTGAGAATTCTAATTTTCATTTGGCAATTTGGTACGACAGTCGGTGGCTGAAATCCTTTACATATGTGTGTACATTTTATATCCCCTCAATACTTTTCTAGACTACGGCGACATGGAAAGCATTTAATAGATCATTGGTCAATCAGTTTTTAAATTATTCCAATACAGTTATAAAATTAACATTCACGTTTACAGCTATCGTATGTGAGACTTGAATCAGATAACTAATCCTGCAACAATAAACATCAGATCATTCATTTTATTTTTTCATTTGTTCATAGAATGTCACAAAAACGAATTTCATTTTTTTTTTCCTAATTAAGCTAACATTCCATTTGCTAAAGAAAAAAATAAATAGACTTACCTATCCTACATCCTCCTCGGGAACTACCTATCATTTTAAAGCTTTACCTTATATGACCGTCGGAAATATGAATAAAGTGGTTCAAGTTACTTGACAGTCGGATAAGAAAGTCCCCAAAATAATGGTATATAGAAACGGACAGTTTGTTTAAGATTCAATTATGACCCAACGTTTGAATTTCTATATCTGAACATTTCTTTAAATAAAAAGCATTGTAATTGGTATCGGAATAAACTTTTAAACTTAAACACCGAGGTACTGAAGCCTAACACCATTTAAGGTCCAATATGCTTAAGAGATTTGTAAGTGAACGTTAGTCCCCGGGGGTATCATCAGCTCAGTAGTCAGTACTTTAGTACTAACATGATTTATAACAAATTTTTCTGAAATTGTCCGTTTATAAATTTTGAAATTATAAAGAAACTAAGGTTTCAACTCCCCAAGGCAAAATTGACCTTAGATGAATTTGGCTATTTGTTTTAGGTATTTTTGTCATATAGCTCTTCAACTGTTTCGGTACTTATACATCCCTCGGATTTCAAATGTTTGGCATTGAGCGTTCCTGATGAAGGTAAATCCAGAAAAGCGCTTCGGACGCATGGATTATTAAACGTGTTGTTTTCAATTTTTTAGTATATGTAGAATGAACACAATTGTTAAGTTATTAAATCAAAAGTTTAAAAAAGACTAGGTTGTTGTTGTTTCATATCTATCAAAAATGTTTTTCGTAGATAAAATTGTATACATAAGGATGTTAGCTTTGTTCATTTGAATTATTTCACATTTTTCATGTTGGGGCCTTTTATAGGTGACTGTTCGGTATGGGTTTTTCTCATTGTTGAATATCGTTAGGTCACCTTTGATTGCCTTTATCTCCGTCATTTCAAGTCAAGCGGAAAGTTGTCTTATTGGCAATCATACCACATCTCCTAATTTTTCTAGAGTGTGCAGAGTGGTCAGACACTCCATGTTAACACATCACAACAGCCTTTGTTAAAATATCGGTGATTTCAAGTACAAAGCTGCTGTTCCATCATTGTCAATTATTGTTATGATGAATTAAAGACGACAAGTGTGATATATGTACCTTTAAGGATCATATTATCAAAAAATTCATCCCATGTCCAATCAGGAATTCCGAGCTTTCCATGAAGAAATGTGTAATTAGAAGCCCATCTATCTTTCGGATTTCGATTCAGGTATATAATTTTGAATCCATTTTTCACATGATGAATTGGTAGGTGATGTAAAGGCAAATGTGTTGTGAATAGTCTAGGGTCATCTACTTCATCTAACTTATCCATGAAGTATGCAGCGAAGTCCAACATCATGTGATGTAAAACACCTTTTGTGTTATATTCTAGAGACTGAGAGAGTAACATGGACAATATTTCATGGCACCAGTGTGTACCTGTAAAACAAATATGTTGAACTCTTTATCTGTATTGGCTTGATCAAAGCGAAGATGCAGATTGTAAACACAACTTGCATTATTTAGATATTATTAAAACAGCAGACGAGATTGATATATATATATTTTCATAATTGTTGGAGGCTTAAGTACAATAATACAATAAAGCTGAACCCGATTTTCGTAGAATAAATGTGTGACTTTTTGTCAATAACTTTGACCTATACTATCAATCAAATTACAAAACAAAAAGACACTATGTTAAAGAGAGTCAAAAGATACCAAAGTGATATATTCAAATTCGTAAGTCCAATACAACCGGCTAATAATCTAGCATTTCGCATCAGATAAGTATATATCACACAACATAGAAAACTAAAAACTGAGCAACACGAACCCCACCAAAAGCCAGGCTGATCTGAAAAATTAAGATATAAACACGGAACACAATATATGGTGTTTTACTTGAAATATTAGCTAGATTTGCAAAGATTCCAAAATTTCTCACATTTATAATTGTTAACATATATCGTAACACATTCTGATTTCCTCAAAGAATAAAATGCACCTTTTTCCAACTTGAAGTGATAGCGGTATTTAATGCACACAATCATAGTTAACAGACCGGATGTGTTGACTAACAGTACTTTTTAAAAATGATGAAAGTTTGATCATCTCTCATACACCTCTTTTCTTAAAATTTTTAAAATTGAATTTTAAGAAAATTAAGAAAAATAAAAGAAAACGGAACAACAAAAATTAAAAAAAAGTCTAGTTCACTGTAAAAAGACCGTTGGTTTTCCCGTTGGAATGGTTTTACACTAGTAATGTTTGGAGCCCTTTATAGTTTGCTGTTCGGTGTGAGCCAAGGCTCCGTACTTTAACCTATAATGGTTTACTTTTATAAATTTTGACTTGGATGGAGAGTTGTCTCATTGGCACTCATACCACATCTTCTTATATCTATTAAATAGGGAACTATTAAACAATGTATTTAATCTTCATTTAAGTCTATCAAAATATAAATTTTCCTATCGAAGGTCGGTGGTTTTCTACGGGCACTCCGGCTTCCTACACCAATCAAAACTAGCCGCTACGAAATAGCCCAAAAGCGGTGCTTAAAAATGGCGTTAATACATCATAAATCAAAATCAAATCAAAATATAAAAATAATATAATATTGATAGTTCAATCAAATTGTTTAATTAAATCATTTTAAAGTCATTAACAATAAAATGGTAGAGCTTTCATCATGTAATTAACATTTATTAATTTGATAAAAGTACAGTTATTAATTTAATATCCCTTTTGAGATCAATGTTTCATAAAGCATGTCTAAGATGATACACTGTTCAAATATTATAAAAGAAATAAATGGAAAGGTATGGAACAAAAGAAATTAGACCTAATTTCTAAAATGATGAGCAGTAATTAAAATTTAAATACTCTTTTATCCGAAATTTTCTTTTCATTGATCATGTTGATTTTGGCCTGAGATTATTATATTGAACACCTGTCAAAAGTTGACATGATTACACACCCATACTAACTCCTTATTTCATTTTAAGCTGACTAATGCAGGATGTCACACCAGCACTTTGAATTTTCAATAATGAATGAATGGGAAATAAAGTTATTAAAAAAAACGAATGATAAAAACGTCTTGAATATATACAAGAATGAGAAGAAAAAAAACAATATTAATTGAAAAAAATAAATAAATAAAAGAATGAAAAAACAATTTTTCAAAATCAAAAAACCGTCTATGTGTCTATTGTTGTGTATAATACGCATCTTTTTTTCTTATGTAATCGGGACAAGTATAAAAAAATCAGGGTAATCAAGAAATTTTATTCTAATATATATTCGACTCAAATTTGAATTTACACAATATGCTTCACACTAAAGATATTGCTGGTTATCAATTATACAAAAACGTCATATTCATTAATACTGTTGATGTGTTTGATATATACATTAATCAAATACTTTTTCATATGCAATAAAAGGCATCATACGGCACTTGTCATGCATGATTCTGAAATGTCGGTCGAGTGACCGCTTCGTTTGATTGATAGATTTCTTGGTTTTTTAACGTCCAGTGGCAAATATTCATGTATCTTTGCATGTTAAGTCTGAGAACAAATTAATAATTTATACAAAAGGTAGGTCCTGTAATAGACCTAAGCGTTTTTTGGGAATCTGCGACACTTGATCTGAGAATTTGCTACATTTGAACTATTAACATCATACAACAATCACTGTTCTTTTTGACGTCCAAATCTTAAGGGAATCTGTGTGATTGATTGATTGTTGGTTGCTTAACGTCCAGTGGCAAATATTTCTTGCATGTTTAGGACGAGAACAAGTTAACAATAAATACAATAGGTATGTCTTACAATAGAGGCCGTCCGGGATAAGGTCGGGAAAATTTGGACTGCCGTTGGAAAAATGAGGGTATTTTGGATAGGGTCAGTAATTTGGCCTAGCAACAGGCCACCTACGGACCCCTCAAATAATTGTTGCAAGTGTTTTAAACGTGCAAAGAACGTAGCGTTTTTCTCAACACGAGGCATCGTCTCGATTCTGACCGGACGTGGCTGCGAACTTGATACATCCAGCACAGCCAAACGGACGCCCCACTCTGGCAAGGGTTTACTGCCGGTCGGCAGAAGATCTGTAGTTACCATATTTCTATTCCCCACTCACCCTTTTGGAAGGAACCTTTGGTATGTCCAGTAATAAGCGATAAGGTGTACAGAGGCCTTCTGGGATGGAGGTTGGGAAATTCGGACAGATATTTGAACACGAGTGCATATAGGACATGGACAGCAATTTTGCATTGCAACAGATGACCTACGGACCCCTAAAAATGCCGACCAAAAGTGACCATATTTTTATTCCACAGTCACCTCTGTGCTTGATTGCGATTCAGATGATAACTGACTGTAATGGAATGCAATAACATGTATTTATTCTTTTTACATTTATCATGTTTATTGTGTCTAAATTCTTTCACGAATGTCATTTTTTGTTGTTGAAAAGTCAATACTATAGCAGAATGCTATTGGTTGAAAAACATAAATTGATAATAATGTCTTGTTAAAATTTTAATTCCATGGTCTCTTATTATAATGTATATATTAAATGTCTCCCGAAATTTCTTATTTAATATGTGTCGTAAATCATTGGATAACTTGTCCGTCAATGTTAAAGGAATATATGATGATATAAAGATATGTCATTTATCATTTCTTTCGAATAGCATCCCGAGAAACACAAATAAGCCGGAGAGTCGAAGTACCAGAATCAAATGCACCTGTATCTAACAAAAGGTGAGCTTGTTTATACAACAACTGCAACTGTTTTATTAACTGTGTCCATTTAGAGCGGTTTAATATAACAGTAATTTCCAAATCAAACCCCATATAAATATGGATATCTCGGGATTGTATGCAAATTTACTTTTAATAACTTGATAGTATATGTGTATGCATAAGATTAAGATGGTGGTATGATAATGCACATTATTTTTACCCCTTGAATTTGAAAACCAAAACGTATTATAAATGTAACTAATAGCACAATATATAAAAATATAAAAAAATATAGACCCCCAAAGTCTTATATCAGATTTTAATATTTCTATTATACTTATGATCCTTTGTTTATAATTTGAGGCTCATTATCTACAAACACTGCTAACATAGCTCTTTTCTTTCATATTCAGAGACGATTCACAGCCTTACATTATCAACATTTATATAATGAACTACAACCTGTCTTATACAACGATTGTCATGTGGATAAAATGTATTTTGTCGGTAAGGTTGTGGCTCGTAATTAATTTTGCCAAATCACTGTTTTAAATTGTTATTTCAGGTCAGTTTATTTGGGGGAAGGGGGACAAATTTAGTGGCCAAGTAAAGTATGTGATCAATGCTGGCTCTATGAGGGAACATACCATGAGAATACGCCAACAATTGTAATATTGCAAATTTTTATACATATAATACATAATTGTTAATAGGAAATGAACAGTTATAAGAATTAGAAACTTAAGTTTGATATTTCATTTTAGGTCCTACTTGATGCACATCATTTATTATTAGGATTGGCAAAAATAAAAACCTGATTTCATAGTTGTACATAGTAGTATATCTGTGTCTTTTGTTTTTAGTGTCCGAACATTTTCCAAATGCTTTTCTATACCGTGTTCTTTGATGAGGGGACCCGAAATAAATGTTTCATCTCCTAGTCGAGTAAACGGATAAATCACCAAACCGGATTCGATAACGCTGAAAAAAAAACAAGAACAAACTTGAAAAAAACAATATACATGTATAGGATATGTTTGAGCTTCTCACAGCGGTTAATGTTGAAAACCACCGACATAAAATTGGATCAATAATGGCATAGTTTTACGTTCAAATGTTTCTGGGCAGAACATAGGAGTCAAAATACTAAGCGGAAATACAACAAAAAGCATGGCTAAAAGAATAAAGACGAACAAAAGTCTCTAAAGCACTATACTAAAAATAATAAAATAGTTGAACAACACAAACCAAACCAAAAACCCGGGGTGAACTCGTGTGTTCTGGAGGATCGGCAACACCTGCATCAGCAAATGACATAATTTTTTTTTGTGAGTTTTCGTAGCATGAAGTATCCAGTCTGATGCACTAGTCTTTAACATGTTTATGTTCGAATGAATTAATGAAAATGACTATTGTCAACATAACAAGACGACAAATATTGATTTTGCATACGTTTGTCCTCCCGTGGACATACACATTTCAATGGTTATTTATACAATTATTTTTATTTTTGGCAAACTATTCAGCCTGTTCTCTTTCCAACGTGTTGTTGTAAGTGTCCAATGCTGGTCTTAAATACATGATTTTCGATGTACTTTCATGAAGTTTCCAAAGCCGCTTTTATTGATCATTAACTTACCGTAGTCCTTAGCGTTTTACAGATAATTATTCGAAACTCATATTATAGATTTTACACTATAATAAATGGTTGTAGTTTGCCGGCTTCTTCCTTGCAAACTTAACTACACGGAAATCATAAAATGTACGGGGAAAAACGTTCAAGCCGACAGCTCCGTTAATAATACGAAACATTCTTTTTAGATAATCTGTCAAATAGTTTAACAAACATATTTATCTATAATAGTTTGTTCGTGAAGCTACATGAAAACACTGGTAAAACTGTATTGAAATTATGTTTCATCGTGTATATGCTGTATTAATCCACTTTATTGATTGATTATTGTTTGCTTACCGTCCAGTGGCAAATAGTTCATGCATGTTCTGAACGGAAACAAATTAACAAATAAAACAATAGGTAGGTTCGTCAATAGTTGACGACTGGAAAGAGAGCGGGAAATTTGGACTGCCGCTGGAAAATGAGTATACATTGAATAGGGATAAAAATTTAGCCTTGCAACACGTTCCTTATCGACCCCTCAAGTTTTTGTTGAAATAGTTTTAGCTTGCAGAAAGCCTGACACTCTCATTACACGTGGCATCAATTTTCATATTACTATTCCGATCGATCGTGGCGACGAATTTATACATCCCGCGACCTACTTTGGGAAGGGTTTTACTGCCGGTCGAACGAAAACTAAAGAAATTATCATATTTCTGAACCTAAGTCAACAGTTGCTGTCTTAATCCACTATAAACCAGATGTCAACCGTAACAAATACAATAACTGTAATAACTACAAAAAACACAAAACCTTCCTCAGAATGCATATAAATAGTGCATCATCATCTGCCAACGATAGAGCAAACTTGTTTTAAAAGCTTAAATTTTTCTTATTGTTTCGTGTGTATAGTTGCCAGAATTTTTTTTACGTCAGATTAACATATTTTACTATGAACAGCAGAAAGCCCTTCATATGGCAATATATAAGTATTAAACAATAAATTTTACATTTCGTTATGTACTTTTAGGGGAACATCGTGTGCATCCGCCATTATAAGTTGGAAACTTGTGTACATGTAATGTTTGTGATTGATATTGTATCATTTACATGTGTATATTTACGAAGGTTAATAAATGTACAGTGCTGGAAATAAACAACTTTAACAAAATGCAATAGGTAGGTGGCTATGTCAGTTAAAATGATAATAACAGATGAATATATAAATGTGCTTGTATAAAATTCAGAATTGATGAAGTATTTTGTTTGGGGGGATGGTGACAAAGTTATGTTTTTAAATTCTGATCTTGTTACGAACCTCATAATCATGATAATATAAGGACTCGTGTAAAATTTACAGTCAAATTGATTTTTCTAAAAGGTGGTTTATGCATCCTCAACTCTACTTTGGAAGAAAAATCACTTTAAGTTATGATCAACAAACTAAATGAAAGAAATAGTAGGTATTGATGATAAAGTTATTATAATTATAATATATAACACACTATTTAGCTTCCCTTAGTCATGGACGAAAAATGTTCATCAATAATTGTTTTAACTTTCATGATAAAAATAATAATTTTGAAAATTTTATGTCATGTTTGTGTTTATATAAGCGGTGGTCCGAGGTCTTTCACCTTCAATTCTTTTGTTTGAATCTTCTCGCCTTTAATAAGCTATCGGGACGTCGGGATTGGGCCTTTTTTGCGGAAATTTGGCAGGGGCCTTTATTTTCACGGAAATTTGCGATTTTCACTTATCGGGACTCGGGAACTAACGATTATGATAAGTAAATTATCGGATTAAAAAAATGATTTAAGGTAATTAACCATAAAGCTGTACATGTACATGTGGTCTCATCAACTTTAATTAATTGTGAGGCAAACTTTTGAAATTGTATGCCGAATGATGTAGCGTTGTTCGTACAAAGACAACAGGAGATATATTTCATTTACATATCCTGTAATGTTGTATGTTATCTAGAACGATGGTTGATATAATCTGGTGCAATTCAGTTTAAATCCAAATATAAGGACGATACCAAAAAATTGGCGAAAGATACCAAAATAATATCATTGAAATACACATTCATAATTGATCATTAACTTACCATAGTCCTTAGCGTTTTACAGATAATTATTCGAAAGTCATATTATAGATTTTACACTATAATAAATGGTTGTAGTTTGCCGGCTTCTTCCTTGCAAATTTAACTACACGGAAATCATAAAAAGTACGGGGAAAAACGTTCTAGCCGACAGCTCCAGTAATAATACAAAACATTTTTTTTAGATTATCTGTCAAATAGTTTAACAAACATATTTATCTATAATAGTTTTTTCGTGAATGTACATGAAAACACTGGTAAAACTGTATTGAAATTATGTTTCACCGTGTATATGCTGTATTAATCATTTTTATTGATTGATTATTGTTTGCTTACCGTCCAGTGGCAAATAGTTCATGCATGTTCTGAACGGAAACAAATTAACAAATAAAACAATAGGTAGGTTCGTCAATAGTTGACGACTGGAAAGAGAGCGGGAAATTTGGACTGCCGCTGGAAAATGAGTATACATTGGATAGGGTTATAAATTTAGCCTTGCAACAGGTCCCTTATCGACCTTTCAAATTTTTGTTGAAATAGTTTTAGCTTGCAGAAAGCCTGACACTCTCATTACACGAGGCATCGAATTTCATATTACTATTCCGATCGGTCGTGGCGACATCCCCCGACCTACTTTGGGAAGGATTTTACTGCCGGTCGAAAGAAAACTAAGGAATTACTATATTTCTATACCTAATACAAACGTTGCTGTCTTAATCTACTTTAAACCAGATGTCAACCGTAACAAATACAATAACTGTAAAAAAAAACACAAAACCTTCCTCAGAATACATATACATAGTGGATCATCATCTGACAACGATAAAGCAAACTTGTTTTAAATGCTTAAACTTTTTTTATTGTTTCGTGTGTTTAGTTGCCAGAATTTCTTTTACGTCAGATTAACATATTTTACTATGAAAAGCAGAAAGCCCTCCATAAGACTAATATATAAGTATTAATCAATAAATTTTACCTTTCGTTATGTACTTTTAGGGGAACATCGTGTGCATCCGCCATTATAAGTTGTAAACTTGTGTACAGGTAATGTTTGTGATTGATATTGTATCATTTACATGTGTATATTTACGAAGGTTAATAAATGCACAGTGCTAGAAATAAACAACTTTAACAAAATGCAATAGGTAGAACGCCGGCTATGTCAGTTAAATTGATAATAACAGATAAATATATAAATGTGCTTGTATAAAATTCAGAATGGATGAAGTATTTTGTTTGGGGGGATGGTGACAAAGTTATGTTTTTAAATTCTTGTCTTGTTATGATCGTCATAATATAAGGACTTATGTAAAATTTACAGTCAAATTGATTTTTCTAAAAAGTGGTTTATGCATCCTCAACTCTACTTTGGAAGAAAACTCATTATAGGTTATGATCAACAAACTAAATGAAAGAAATAGTAGCTATTGATGATAAAGTTATTCTAATTATAATATATAACATACTAATTAGCTTTCCTAAGTCATGGACGAAAAATGTTCATCAATAATTGTTTTAACTTTCATGATAAAAATAAAATTTTATGTGTTTTTAATTAGCGGTGGTCCGAGGTCTTTCACCTTCAATTCTTTTGTTTGAATCTTCTCGCCTTTAAGGAGCTATCGGGACGTGATATTGGGTCTTTTTTTGCGAAAATTTGAGATGGGCCCTTTATTTTCACGGAAATGTGCGATTTTCATTTATCGGGACTCGGGAACTAACGATTATAATAAGTACATTCTCGGATTTAAAAAAATGATTTAAGGTAATTAACTATAAAGCTGTACATGTACATGTGGTCTCATCAACTTTAATTCATTGTGAGGCAAACTTTTGAAATTGTATGCCGAATGATGTAGCGTTGTTCGTAGAGAGACAACAGGGGATATATTTCATTTACATATCCTGTAATGTCGTATGTTATCTAGAACGATGGTTAATATAATCTGGTTCAATTCAATTTAAATCCAAATATAAGGACGATACCAAAAATGTGGCGAAAGATACCAAAAGAATATCATTGACATACACACTCATAATTCGAAAACAAGGGGTTAATTGAAAACATAGGTCAAAGAAGGTCTTCCAAAATTAAAAACTACACCAAACCCTTGTACTGTGGAATGGTGGTCAGCTGCATACAGATGTATGTTGCTCATACACAATTAAATACTTAATTAGAAGTCTCATTCATTGATAATGATAACTGAATAAATGAGGACAGGACAATGGTTATGATAAAAAAGAAAAAACATCATAATTTAGATTTGAGTTCAGTTATGAAATCAATTTATTTTTCATTTCATGAACTATTCCTCTTTTTTATATAGTAGACATGGATATGCTTTTTCCTGATAGATCTGTCGATAAGTCGGAACAACGACACACACACAGGCAGATTGCATACTAATTGCATTTGTGAACCTATTTTCATAGTTTAATTGTAGGTTGCTTGACGTCCAGTGGCAAATATTTCACACATGTACAAGATAAGAACAAATTAACAATATATACAATAGGTATGTTTTGTGGAACAGTCCGTTCCGGAAATAGGACGGGGAACATTTAGACTGCCACTGGAAAATGAGGTTATATTGTATAGGGATAGAAATTTTGCCTTGTACAGGTAACCTATGGACCCATCAAAGAGGTGTCACAAGGGATCTTTGCGTGTAGTGAGAGCGTGACATTCTTTCTACGCGTGAAATCGGATTAAACGTCCCCAATCGGACCGAACGTGGCTTCGTACATTTACATTCTGCAGAGCCAAAACGGACGCCCCCACTTCAACAAGGGTTCTACTGGCGGTCGGAAGAAGACTTGTAGTGACCATATTCCTATGCCACAGTCACTAGAGTAAAAACAATTACAAAAGACGGTACCAATTTGTGTAATAAAATTTTCTTATTATTGATACAATTTATGTAATTAATTTTTCTTATTATTATTTAACGGAAACTACACACGAACTAGCCTAACCGGTTTTTCTTTTAATAAACCCAAAGCATACTGTACAGTATATATAGTTTAATGTGTTACAAACTCAATAAGCAAAATAGTACTAATACATGTGTTATCAAAGACGTCGAACTGTGAGCTATAAATCACTAATGATATCCTCGAGCTCGCTTTAGGTATTCGATAAAAAGGAAGTGGAAGTAAATTGAAAACGCATTACAGCAGATACACATAAAGCCTGATAGCATATTTCAGGAAACACTTATTTGTAGTTCCGTAGAAAAATTGGACGAAAATTTCAAACATTTGTACTTTCAAAATTTGATATTAATTTGAAAAGGTAATAGTAAATAGGAAAAAATCAAAAAAGTATATGAAGCCAAAACCGGACAAGGTATTAGAGCACCCGAAACATGTCTGTTGAGGACGCTAATCATACCAGTGCTGATTGACTTTCAGTTCTAGTAAAACAGACCACCCAGTTACAAATGGTTCGGTACACATTTTTAAATGACACAAATAGTTAATTTCCATTTGATAGAATACAAAAAACTACTCCTTTAGGCAAATCTGACATTAGTTGATTGACTGATGTAAAGTCCAGTGGCAAATATTAAATGCATGTTCATGACGAGAACAAATTAACAATACATACAATAGGTAGGTCCCGTAATAGAGGCCGCCCGGGATGAAGTCAGGGAAATTTGGACTGCCACTAGAAAATGAGGGTATGTTGGATTTGGTTAGAAAATTTGCCTTGTAGAGGTAACCAATGGACCCCTCAAAGTGTTGTTACAAGAGAGTGTGATATTCTTTCTACTCGTGGCATCGGATTAAACTTCCAAATTTTGACCGGACTTGGCTTCGTACACGTACATTCCGCAGAGCCAAACGGACGCCCCACTTTTGCAATTTTACAGACGCCATCACGAGTTGGTTGACCGTTATGGAATAACCGTTTCACAGATGATATCGGATATGTTCTTTATGTCGTAACTACAATACCCTTCCCTTTTCACGAATGTGACTTACCGAATTAGACTAATTACCGGATTTGTAATAACATAAGCAATAAGACGGGTGCCACATGTGGAGCAGGATCTGCTTACCCTTCCGGAGCACCTGAGATCACCCCCAGTTTTTGGTGGGGTTCGTGCAGCTTAGTCTTTAGTTTTCTATGTTGTGTCATCTGTAGTATTGTTTGTCTGTTTGTCTTTTTTATTTTAGGCCATGGCGTTGTCAGTTTGTTTTCGATCTATGAGTTTGACTGTCCCTCTGGTATCTTTCGTCCCTCTTTTGCAAGGGTTCTACTGCCGGTCGTAGGAAGACTTGTAGTGACAATATTTCTATTCCACAGTCTCTAGAGTAAAACAAAGTTACAAATGACGGTACAAATTTGTGTAATTGAATTCTTCTCTTATTATGTTTTAGTGGCTTATCAATATAAGAGTCTTTTTCTCGACTTTTTGATTAAAAGAAAACGACGCCATCCTAATGATGTTGTAATCATTTTGGAACTGAACGTTTACTCAGCGTAGTAATAACGTAATTCCTAAACATCTGGGCCAATTTTTGAAACTTACACATGACAAAGTAAAGCTTTAACACTCGATCCTACGGATGAATGAATAGTTTTAGAATGTTGGAAGTAGCTCTTGAAGAAATGTCGACCTAATTCCGAAACAAATCTGAAAATTTTCCTACAAGGGAAACTACCCACGAACTATTAAAATCAGTTTCTGTTGTTATAAAACTCAAATCATGCTGTACAGTATGTATAGTTTAATGTGTAACAAACTCAATAAGAAAAACAGTATTAATAACTGTGTTATCAAAGAATTGTGAGCTATTATTCACTAATGATACCCTCGCTTTAAGTTTTCAATAAATGGGAGATGGAAGTAAAATGAAAACGCATTGCACGTTATAGTAGATTGACATACAGACATTTAAAAGACCCATACTTTTGATCAAAACGAATTTTGCACCTAAAAAGGTGTTTTGTGGACGAAAATCATACCTTTCGTTTTACTACCACTGCTGGTTGACTTTCAGTTCTAGTAAAACAGACTACCCAGTTGCAAATAGTTTGTTACAGACCAAATTTTAAATGACACACATTGTTCTTGTCCACTTCATAGAATATAAAAATTGTTATACAACGAAAGATGTGACTTCTTCAGGCAAATCTGACATTAGAGGAGTTTACGCTATACTGTTAAGACTATTTAGTTATTCTATTACACAAACTACTCATTATTCAGATTTCTCAACTGTTATTCTCTTACGATCTTAATTGATTATCGTTTGCTTAAAGTTTAGTGGCAAATATTTCATGCATATTCAGGACGAGAACAAACTCTCAATTATTACAAAACATATGTCCTGCAATATATTGTCGATCGGGATGATATATTAAAAATTTAAAGGTCACTGAAAAATTAGTGTTCTAGTATTTGATCAGGACCGACTTAATTTATCCTTGTATACGACCACAAACAGACCCCTTAAATAGACGTTACAAGGGTCCTGAACGTGTACAGCGAGTGGTTCTTTTTTACAATGACTACAGATTTAACGTTACATTTTAACCGAACGCGGCTGAGAATTTATACGACCCGCACAACCCAACGGACGCTCTACAGTAGCAAAGGTTAAGCTGCGGACGGAATAAAGCCAAGGGATGACCATATTTCTATACCACTGTCAACGCTTCGGGATGATAGTACTTGATAAAGGTTATTTCAGAATGAAGTGTTTAACCAGGAAACAAACATGTATCATTTTTTTTTATACATTTTATTAAAAACTAGTAGACCCTCCAGCAGTCACTTTTCTTTTTAAGAATGGAAAAAAAAATGGCCTTGAAAAATATGAAAACTTACTTTTATGTGTTCTTTAATTACCTTACAAATTGGTATTTTTTTTTTTTGGTTTTTACGGATGCATATCAAAGTGTCAGCTGACAAAATCTTTTCAAATCTAGATATAATGTAATGGACCCTTAAATACTGATCAAGTTCTATTTTGGAATTTGAACACAATGTCATGGATCATAACATACATGTCAAATTCTATTTTGAAGATTTTGACATCTACGGTTCAAGAATTGGTTAC